TCAAATCAGATCTGACTGGTACAGGAGGAGATTGTCCCTCCTTCCCCGGCAGAGCATCTGGTGGATTCGAACCGTGCGCCTCTGGGATTTTAGTTGCAGCTCCTTACCACTAGGCCACCAGAGCTCCCCTTGATCACTTTATCTTAAGAACTTTTTCTACTGAATCTTAAAGTGGCTAACTCATTATTCCTGCCTAAAAATAGCTGTCCTTTTTCAAAGACACTTTTCCTTAAAAGGAGATTCTAATTACCTGGTATCCTCTTTTTATCTAGTCATGGCATCACATTGCCCTGTTTCATTTTCTGCATATTATATCCTTATCTGGAATTCTTTATTTTCATGTTATATTAGAAATCAGCTTCATTGGATGTTGCCATAACCCCAGCATCTATAATCAGTTCTTTAAATAATAAGTGGTAAAAATAGATTGGAAAGTTCAGTTACCAATTTTTCATTAAATATTTTCATAGTTAATATTAATCAGGATGAGGAAAAGAACACTTGTCAGATATAGTAAAGTTGGCACAGAATAGAGCAGGTTTCCAGGGCTGTTATACAAAGGGTCGCTATCAGTTGCAAGTGACTTGACAGCATACAACAACATCAACACTATAAAACTAAAATACTCTGTTATTTTAAAGAAAGCTATTTTCCCAAGAAAAAGCTCTATATTAATGTTTAATAATACATTAATTGATAGAAAAACTAATTTCTTTGAATAATTTAATAGGTTCTTCCAGCACCCAAGTTGAAGATGACTAACAATCATATATATAACAACAATGGCTATGGAATAAGCATTCTTCAACCAACTGAACAGGTTTTTATTGTAACAGAAGAAGCCCTTAGAAAAGGGGCTGCCTCTGGAGACAAAAAAGATGATAATATGCTCTCCAAAGTAATGCAAAACCTAAATTTGGAAATTAATAATAATAAAATAGAAGCAAATGTAAAGGGGGATATCAGAATAGTCACAAGTTAAAGCATCTGTTTTAATATTGTTTTATATTTCTGATATTTATTTACCAAATAATTCTCATATGCCATATAAATTGTAGTTTAAATAAATTCAAAGCTTATTTCATTTTAAAATATTTCAACATTTTAGGGCATTTTTATTTATTATTTATTTTAAAGTTTTTTTTTTTTATTTCTGAGACTTGATTCCATTTTCATAAAACTGGAGCATTTATTATATTTTTAGTAAATGGTACAACTGTCATCACTAACTCCAGAAATAAATGTGGTTTTAAACACTGTGGTTAAATGCTCAGCTGCTAATGAAAAGACAAGTGGCTCAAAATCACCAACTGCTCAACAGGACAGTCTACCTTGGAAACTGTGGGGCAGTTGTACTCTTCCCTATAGAGGTACTGAGACTGAACTGACTCAATGGCAATGGGCTTATTTTTATTTCTGTGCAATGAAAGAAGTCTGGTGGTGCTTTTGGTGCATACGGTTGATCCATCCACCCATTTACCAACCAAAAAGATAGAGGCTCAAGTCCTTCCAGAGGTTCCTAAGAAAAAAGACTTGGTGAACTACCAAAATGACTGTGGAACAGAGTCCCATTCTGGCATACATGGAGCAGCAATGAGTTGGAAATGATTCAGCAGCAACTGTTTTTGGTGGTGTTTTTTCTTTTTTTGTTTTTGTCCAATAAAAAGTATTATGTGCTCTGTATAGAGGGTAGATATGTTAATTTATAGCAAATCTTGTTCATTCCAGCTATTTGTGCTAGTAACCAAAGTAAAATAATTATGGGTGCAACTGCAAAAAGGGAGAAAGTCCAAAATAATATATCATAACTAATATAAAAAGTGTATTTCTCATTCATATTCAAGAATTTCAGAACTATTCCTTATAGAGCTGGTAAGTTTACCATTTGGTCAGAATATCACTCTTGTTTTATCTTTATGTGGTTTCTATTCCTAAAATCAACTCATGGTTATAGGACAGTTACCGCTATATAAGTCATTATAACCAGATTAAAAAGGTGATGGGACCATTCTATGAAGTGGTGACACATAAATATTTTTATGCTTTAAAGTTATCAGAGGGCCGCACCTTGCAGCACCTAAGACATATAATCTTGCAGCATCTAAGACATAAAATCATTTGCATGGCATGTGTCCTCTAACATATTTTCTTTCTAAATAGAAGATAAAAAGTTATTAGGAAATAGCAAATTCTCTTTTTCACAAAGCACAATTTTTACCAACTTTAGGATATGAAAAGACATAAGTACTCAGGCTCACTTAATCCCTTCCTTCTCCATTTTGACTCTGACTTTGTTATCTATAATCTAGCCAAGATGACCTCAGCTACCATGTTGTTCTTACGTACCATTGAGTCAAGCATGATGCTTAGTGACCCAGTGAACAGAATATCTGAACCCTGGCCTATCCTGTGCCATCCTCATGATCTCTGACATGCTTGAGCCGATTGCCACAGTCACTGTATCAATCTGTCTCATTGAGGATCTTTCTCTCTTCCATAGACCCTCACTCCACCCTTATAAGCTTAATGTTCACCTCCATGAACTACGCTTTCTTGATAATGACCAAAGTATGTGAGATGGAGTTTTACCATCCTTGCCTCCAAGAAGCACTCTGTTTTTGCTTTCTCCAGGACAGTGCTTTTCTGTTTGGTTCCTTGGGAAATTCATAGGCTATTCAATACTCTTCCACCACCGTAAGTCAAAGGCATTGCTACAGCCTCTGTCATCCTTAATCATTGTGCAGCATTCAAATACATATTGAACAATTGCAAAGTCCATGACTTGGTTCAGATGCACCTTAGTTGTTAGACTGACATTGCTGCATTTTAGCACTTTAGAAGTCCTGACAGAAAATTTTCCCAATGCTGGTGCCAGGGGTGTTGATACTGGATCTCAGAAAGATGAAATTGTAAACAATCTCAGTTTTTTTCCCCTTCATCTATCATGATGCTGCCTATTAGCCCAGAGGTAAGGATTTTTGTTTTCTTGATGTTGAAATGCAATCCATATAGAAGACTGTAGACCTTGATCTTCTGCAGCAAGCACTTTAAGTCCTCCTGACTTTCAGAGAGCAAGGCTGTATCTGTATAACACAGGTAGTCTTCCTCTGATCCTGATGCCACACACATCCTTATAAAGTCCAGCACCTTGAATGGTCTATTCATATGAAACCTATGCCAAGCAAGACCAAGAAGCTGCTGTCCAGAGCAAGAAATACTGTCTGGTTCAAAATAAAAAATGGAGTGCATCAGGAATGTTTTCTTTCTCCATACCTTTACAGTTTATATGCTGAACACATACCATACAGCAGTTGACAGAAGGATGGGGAAATACAAGTGTCGCTTTACTTAAAACATCTAGCTAATGTTGTGTGCCTTTGAGTCGACCACAACTCATAATGACACTATGCACAATAGCTCTGAATCCTACTGTGTCAATCCATCTCATCTGGGGTCAGTCCTTCCTTCCTTCACTGTCCCTCTACCCTTCCAAGCATGATGTTTTTCTCCAAAGTCTGGTCCCTCCTTGCTACATGCCCAAAGTATGTGAGACAGAGCCTCAAAATCCTTGCCTCCAAGGAACAGCTTGGCTTCACAGTCTCCAGGACAGACGTGTTAGTTCTCTTGGCAGTCCATGGTATGTCCAATACTCTTCAACACCACAAATGCATCAATTCTTCTTCTGTCCTTTTTGGTCACTGCCCAGCTCTCTGATACATCACAAGTAATTGCAAAATATCATGGCCTGCACACCTTAGGGTCTAGACTAACATTGTGCTCTTTAGCACTCTGGAGATGTCCCTGACAGCAGATTTCCCTAATGCAATTAATGTTCTTATTTCCTCACTGCTAGCACCAAGACTGTTAATTGTGGAACCAAGCAAGCTGAAATTGTTAACAATTTCAGTCTCTTCTTCTATTATGATACTGCCAGTTGTCACAGTGGTGAGTCATTTTCTTGATATTGTGCTTCAATCCATAGGGCAGACTACAGCCCTTGACTTTCTGCAGCAAATGCTTCAGGCCCTCCTCAGTTTCAGCAAGCAAGATTTTGTTAACTGCATTGTGTCTTCCTCCAATCTCGATGCCTCCTGAGTGATCTGTTCTGCATACAGATTGAAAAGACATGGAGACAGCATGCATATCTAACATACTCCCTTCCTTATTTTGAAACCTGCAGTGTTTCCTTGTTCTGTTCTGATGACTGCTTTTTGGTCCAAGTATAGGTCTCACATGAGCACAATTAAGTGTTCAGGGATTCCCATTCTTCTCAAGTTTAGTCACAATTTGTTGTGACCCACACAGTCTTCACACAGTCAATGAAACGCAGACATTCCTTTCGTACTCTCTGCTTTCCAGCCAAGATCCACCTGACATTTATGATGATATCCCCAGTACCATGGCCTCTTCTAAACCCAGCTTGTATTTCTGGTAGTTCTCTATCAATGTACTGTTCCAATTGCTTTTGTATTTTCCTTAGCAGGATTTTGCTTGTGTGTGGTATTAGAGAAACTGTTCGCTAATTTCCACACTATGTCGGGTCACCCCTTTTTAGAATGGGAATAAATATGGATCTCTTCCAGTCAGTTGGCCAGATGGTTGTCCCCCAGATTTTTTGGCAGTGCCTGGTGAGCACGTCCAAAGAATGCAGTATCTCTTACCCCTATGAACTGATGTGGATGTCCTTTGGATGCAAAAAATTACCCATACATTATTTGTTATCATTGCTCTCTGCACACTCTCTCACCAAAACCACATGGTTGAGAGACACATCTTGCTAAGTTAAAAAATATCTATTATGCACCACCAAGTCTCTGCACGCACTCTCTCCTTTTTCTCGCTGATACTAGCCCTTCAGGCCTCGGCACCACCGTCAGTCCCACACAAGGTTTCAAAAGTTCAAACAGCTTTCTGGTTCCATATCACAGCCATTCATCGCGTTGGTATGACTCTATGAAATAGAGTAGGCAAGAAAAATGGGACACTTCCACACAAAGACACAGTCTGTGCAGTTTGTTGAAAAATTCCTGAATGAGAAAGCATATAAACAGAAGTATTCCTATGGCAGAATATAGCCTACTGGCAAGAGGCTGTGCTACCATCCCAAAAGCACACAGTTCAAATCATCAGCTGCTCCATGGAAGAGGCATGGGCAACCCTTCTATGCAATTAACTGCCTCTGAAAAATGGCCAGAGGGTCCAGCTATGGGTCAGTTCTGACTTGACAATAACACAACAATTTTCAATGAAGTGCTTCTCCCTTGAACATTTGGAATGAGGTAAACTGCAGATATTAAATGAAGGCTTTGTTTTGTACTTTTGTATATGAGGGGAGGAGACAAGTGTTAAAAAATGAAAGAAAAACGAATTCATTAAACACCATGATACCATCATCTCCAGAAAGGAGATCTGCCTAAAAAGAAAAGAATGTAGTTCTATCCAATGGTTCTTTCCATTTTGAACATGCAAAGGATTAACTTGACAAGGCCAGGGATACAGGAGAAGCATTTTGATATAAATGGTAGCGTGTTGGTTTACCAATCAGGCCCTATTAAGTAATACTTAGTTCTTAAACTTTTTCTAAAGAAAATGTCAAAAATACTGTTGAATATTCTCCACACTGAACAAACCCAATCATTTAGATTTTTAGTACACATTTATCTTTCAATATACTTACTGTGAGTCTAGAAAAATCTTGACTTCCCTCTAGTCCATAAAACCAGAACTCTTGTCTAAATGCCCCAGCCAGATGACTTAGAACCAAAGCCTCCACTGAAACCACTGCTGGACCCTGCCTTTGTTTGATACTGATCCCCAGACAATTGCTGCACCAGAATTGAGCTACTTATATGAGTTATTTCAAAAACCAAATGTCTGATTTGGCTCCCTCTTCACGTTGCCTCAGTTTATTTTCTGAGGGACCTGACTGGTTCTGCTGTCTGGCTAACATGTCCATCATCTGCTCTGCAATGCTGCTTGGGCCGCAGCCATCATTGCTGGATTAGTACTGAAAGCCCCAAAGTTCCTCCCTCCACCCACAGTACTTACTTGGTTATTAAGCTAGTCCCACCCCCTCAACTATTACCAAATCCACCCTGATTCC